GCGCGCCGGGCCCGCGGCCTTCCCGGCCCGCAGCGCCGGGCCCCGCGCCGCCCGCCGGGCCCCCTGGACGTTGCCGAGCTTGCGCGGCGGCGCCGGAGGCCTTGCTCGGGGCAGAGGTGCCTCCCGCCGCGGGAAGGGGTGTCCGCAGTGATGCCGCGCGCGGGCGGGCGCCCGGAGCGCCGGGAACGGCAGCGCAGGGGCGGCACGGGCTTGTCTTTGAAACCTGAGGTCACCTGACGGGTGAACGTCGGGGGGAAATGTCCCTCCTGTCTCATTTTCCCCTTGTATTCTGTGGAAAAGATGAGATTATGCAGGGAAGTGAGCAGTGGGAATAAGGAAGGTGGGTGCCGTGGCATGGGGGGAGCGGCCGCCGCGGTGCTCGGCCCACGGTGCTGGGGGCGCCTCGTGTGCGGGAGCGGGGCCCTAACGCGGTGGGGCTGGAGCCCCCCTCGCACGTGTGGGAAGAGCCTGCCCATAAAGCCCGTGTCCTGGACGTGTGTCTGTCTTGTACGCGTATGTGGGGGGGGCGTGTAGGGGAGGGGGATGGAGGGAAAAGTGGGTTTTTTTTTTTTTCATAATTTTTGGTATTTCTCCTGAATACCAGCAATAAACACACCCACTTTCAAGAAGGCACCTAAATTCCCTGGTACTTTTATTTCCCAGTCTCTCTTGGAAAACCAAAACCAGAAGAGCAGTTGCACTGGGCAGAGCTCCCTGCTGAGATGTGTGGAGGCAGGGGATGCAGGGGATGCTCCCTCTTGGCCCAGGGAAAGAGGGTGAGGGCAGCAGAAGAGCCCTGGAAGCTGCAGTGTTCACGGTGGGGTGTCTAGGAGCGACCCCTCTTAGGCTCCGGTAGGATTATTTGTTACAGTAGGATGATGTGGCTTGTTTGTTTCCGTGTGCGTTATATGTAATCTGCAGGCAGTCTGGGGCTTTTGAATCCTGGATTAGTTGTGTTCTGGAGGCGGCTGCGGGGCCTCCAGCTCTGCGCTTGCCCCGTGCCTGCCTCCTGCACGCACAGCTCGCCGTTTGAGTGGCTGCGTGTGCTGGTCTCCAACATGCAGGGGATTGCAAAAGTCACAGCTGCAGAGGTGCAGGCTGAAGGGCTGAGACCGGSTTGTAGGAGCCGTGAATGAGAATTGCTTTGAGCTTTGCTGTCCTGCTGGCCTTAGTGTGAGAGCTGAATATTCTGTCGCTGGCTGCCTGAGGTGGAAGAGAATGCGTGGACTTCACTGCTGGCGGGAATTAGAAAGATCAGGAAAGGAAATGAGAGATATATTAGAGGAAGGGAGAGAGTCCCCAAGGGCTGAAATAACCCTAGAATCGGGAGATCGCGTTTTCTTTATGGGCAGTAACGAATGTGATTTCACGCAAGTAAATGTCTTGGGGAAAGAGCTTCTCCCTTTGCTCTGCGCGGGCTCTGTGCCGCCATGTGGGAGCTGCGGCCTGCTGGGAGCAGGGAACCGCGTGCAGGCCGCAGCGAAGGGCAGGATCTGGCCGAGCGCTCGCGAGGCGGCCGCCGCTCGCGCTCCTGAGTGACCGCCGGCAGGTGCCGGCCGCCCGCTCCGCGTCCCCGGCGCGCCGCCCGCGCCCTGCCGGGGCTCCGCGTTCCCACTGCCTCCCCCGTGCCCGGGAAGAGGGGCACGGCACATGGAGCAGCCGCTGCCGCCTTGCGCCCCTTTCCCTGCCCTCGGATTAGTGCCTTGGRAGCTGGGAGGGAGCCGAAGCGACCGGAGGGAGCTCTGGACGTGTCCTGCTCCCTGTGGAGGTGTGACCTAAGGGTGTCAGTGCGCCACAAATAGTGGGTGGGAAATGACAGTCTGGGATTGAAYCCTGAAATCAAAGGGCAGGCAGAAYGGGAGGAAWCTCTGCCTTGGGAATAGAGATGTGGTGCCTATCTGATTGTTTAGTCCTTTTTTAATAATTCAAAAACAASAGTACTCGGAATCAGTCCAATACATATATAAATGTAAAATAAAATTAAATGCAGTGTGGTATGTTTGTGTAGATGAACTTTTTTGACGAACCCTTCTTTCTTCCTCTACAATAGTAGAAGTGAACCTTTGCAATACATAGAATAAATAAATCTAGAAATCTGAAGTTTCAAGCACTTTGTTACACTGATTTTTGTGTTACAAAGTCACATAGCTCCAGTAGAGTAAGGAGTTGAATTGCAACTGTGTATTKTTTTCTTTTTCTTTTTTTYCCCCTTTCTTCCTTTGGCTGACATTCAAGCCACCTCATTGCTGTGTCAAGTGCAGGCAGCCCATGTGAATGGGATGGGCCTTGTGTCCGCTTCAGAAGGGTTTTTTTCTCTCACTGTTTTCATTGCTGCCATGATCTCATTCATGATTYGATGTCCTGATCTATGTGTAAACTATGTAGCCAGTTATTAGCATTTTTGTTATAGTCCTCCTAGTTGTCCCTATGATGAAGCAAGCCGTATGAATCAATATCTGGGGTTTCCTCGGGCTTCCTACTTATTTTTATTAAAGGATCTGTCAGCATTAAGCTGTTGAGACTTTGATTTCCTGCCCTGCGTGGTTGTGTTTTGTTGCCTGAGAGATTCTTTCCTTGCTCTGTGTTCACCGTATGACTCCGTTTCCTTGTTGTTGCCAACAAGGCTGCTCCTTGTGTTTGCTGAGGAACCCGTAATGTTCGGAGGGTAGAGTTAAAGTTACATGTTGAGGCGACAYTTCATAGGAGGCTTTAGGGAGCTTGACGTGGCTTATGAGGTCATAGGTGTGTGTAAAACTCTATTTTGGAGGCCAGTTGCATCAGCTTTATATGAAGTGTTTCATATATATGCGTGTGTATAYACATACGTGTGTATATATAAATTGGATATTTAGACTGCAATTTCTGAARCTTTCTGGAAATTTTTAAAGCTATTGGCAGTGAACTAGCTGCCTAGAAGTTTCTGTCTTCACCCTCTTGGAAGCTAATGGTAGCTCTGGCATGAACATCTGTCTTCACATTAAAGTCTAGATTGCGGTTACTTTGTGCTTGCTCTGGCATTTCTGGGCTCTTCTTTGCTCCCTGGACAAACCCTTTAAATTTATTTCCCATCTTTTTTTTTGAATACCTTTTCATGTCTGTGCAATTTGTTTGGGTGCAGTTAGGTAAGAAAACAGATCACTTATGAGTGCTTCTCTGATAAACRCCAGGGAACTGCAATGCCTTTCTTTTTGTCCCTTGTGTGCTATTCCAGTCTGGTGCATAACTTAAGTTTGGCATAAGGAGGAAAGTTGGAAGAGACAAAAAAAAGTCCATGGGAAACTGGGGAAGACTGTGTCCCGTTTTGCGACGCCTCCCCTCAGGCCTCCTTGCTGGTGCAGCAGCCTGAAGGGTGCCTAGGTAGGGACTGGAAGCCTGGAGTTCTGGCAGGATGGATGGCTCTAGTGGRGGTACGAGAGGGAGCTCGAGTAGGAGACTCGGGTGCAGAGAATAAGGGAAGTTGAGCCAAGGTGCTACTTTTTAAAAGGAAAATGTGTTTTTTTGATATGAGGTCTGAAAGGGGCCACACTAACTTTCCACACTGTTTTGCCCAAAGAAATTTTTATTGGACTTGAGATGAGAAACGGGAAAGAACAGCAAAAAATCCAGCTAGAGGCAAAAGGCTATCTTGGAGCGCCTTCTGTCGTAATACCTGGGCAACTTTAGGGTACAGATCTGCAGTAAACTAAACTTTTTTTAGTAATGATAATGGCTTTTCATCGTGTTGCACACTCTGCTTGTCTCGTAGCACAAAACMAAAATGTGTCCTCAGTTAATGTGCAAACGACAGGTAAATAATAGTACAGGGTGAGTGAGAGAGCAAGTGGCAAATTTTGCCTTAGCAATTGGATGAAAGCTCTGTATCAAATATTCTTTGCTTTAATTAAACCTGGGTAGTTGATCCTGCAGTGTATGTATTAATGCAAACATGCTCCGTCTAGTGCAAACGTGGTCTGTCGGAGCGACTGCAGGATGGTGTGTGCTGTTAGCTGCCCACGTTTAGCTAGGCCTCCCTTTACTGTAGATGCAGATGCACYGTGCAAAACCTTGGTCTGTGGTAGTAAATGGATAATGCTCCAGGAATTTGCATAGGATCTCAGCTTCGAGGTTCCTAAAATCCTATAATCTGCTGTGGAAAATTCCACCATATAGTTGTTTTCAGGGAAGAGTAATCCTGACCCTAAAAAGAGAAGCCCTTTCATGCTACTGTCATTTGGCAACAAGGTTCCCTACGAGTGACTGAATTCTGGATCCTTCCCTAGGAAGGTGCGGCCACCTGGAATAGGCTCATCTTGCTGTTCCTGGCTTTGCAGTGGTTAAAATTGCTGGGGTCATGGAGAGAATGGGAAAGCTGGGAGGGAGTGTGAGGGGGGAACATGAGTGCCGCGTGGAAGAGCCGCGGTTTCGGGTGGCCGTGCGGTTGTGAGGGGCTGCAGCAYGAGTTAGTAGTTTCTAGGAGCTGTTAGCTTCTGTTCAGTAGGTGCATGTTGATGCCCTGAATGTTTTTGGGGTTTTGTGGGGTGGATGCGCTCGGGCTCCGTGGTGGGATCCCGTTTCCACTGCCCCTTGTGTGCAGGCAGAGTTGAGGCCAGGAGACAGAAGTGAGCGGGATGTTGACACTCTGGCATTACATGGCAAGGAGTAAGGGATTCCTGCAGAGGTCAGCTACTGGAAACCACAAAGTGCAGCCTTCTATTTATGAAGTCTGACCTTTGCTTTGCAGTTTAATGGGCTTTTATGCTAATTCTTTTTCCTAAAAGGTAAACACTGTGCTCAGAAAACTTTCTCCAATGCACCTGTCCTACAATAGTATAACAATTTTTTATCTAAGCATTTTTAAAGCTGTCTGCCAGTGATGTGTGTAGACAAGTGGTTCAATTTCCATATTCTGGCTATAGCCTCTTRTCTACATAGTTGTAGCTGATGAATTGAGAGACCCTAGAAGAATTTGTGCCAACATGTGTTACCCCATAAGAAGTYGCTGCATTAAGTCTTTGGTTTTCTGATGCTGCTTTGCCTCTCTATGCAGAGGACTCTATTTTTTTTTTCTCCTATTAATTTCCTGTCAAAAAATCAAACTAAAAACATGCATGTGGTTCACCTTGTGTGCAACTTATCAGCTCTTGGTGAAGGMGGTCAATGTGTTTTCCTCCTCATTCTCCTCTAACAGAATCCGAAAGAATTGCCACTCAGCAGCTGATTAAACTTATCTGTGTGCCAATACGCTGCTGAGGTTAATTGTACACAGCTAAAATACTTGGCTTCTGTTTCATATGAGCTAGAGCAGGATGAGGAGGACTTATCACACTAACCCAGAAATGAATCCAAACTATTAGATGTAGT